ACAAGCCACTTGAATGAATCACGCTTAAACAAAATCGAGCAATTCCCTTAAACTAACTTAGATAAATCACCATTATAAAATCATTAGCAAGGTAATGAGCTATTCGTGTCATTAGGCAGGGACATGAGCTGAGCAGAGAAAGTGAGTGTTGCTTTACTAGTGAGATGGTTTAATTTATTAATGAAGAAGTGAAAAATCAAAGCTTAAAAAACACCCGTGCACCACGGACACAGGCAGGCCTCCTGGCACGTGATGTACATGCAGAAAGGGTGGCAGCAGGGGAGCCCTACTTGTCTTTTTATACTCAGACATTAAAGAATAATCATATTTGAACTAGTTGTGAAACTTCATAGCTGAGGCGCAAAAAAGGTTTGTCTAAACCAGACAATTATCCTGGAATCTGGCATAGTGTGGTCTGAAAGAGGAATAGCTATTCTGAAATAACTCACACAGGGGTCTGTCTGATAGGGTGGATCCACAGCTTCTTAGTGTCTTTGTTAGATTTTGGTGCAAACTGCTACTGACTCCGATCTGTGAGTCTGGCAAGGACCAAGGCAGTTTGAATGTCTGTTCTGGGTCCATAATGCCTGCGTGGCTGCTGTAATACTGCAGGAACCTAGCTGCCCAATTTTGCACTGTAGCAATTAGTACTCTGGGTCTTTTTATATACAATAGGCACATGAGGATGTTCTCTCTTTCTCACAATTTCTCTTTTTTTTTCTTTTTTTCTTTTTTTTTTTTTGCTTTTAGGTTTCATAGACCGTAGCAGTTCAACTCTATCTGACTACTATGCCGTCTTCAAAACATAACTAAAAGGAACCATAAGTGCTGGTATTATTCACTTCCCTGTTACGTACAATGTAAATCTTCCGAACTGCCTTTTTAAAAAAGAGTAAAAATTAAATATTTAAAAAAAAAAAAAAGTATTTACATGTGATGGGTACTGCAGCATCATCAGACCTGCTGGTTCAAGCTTCAATAACAGAAAATACCCCTGGTGGGAATTATGCCAAGACTTGGCATCTATATATAAGACGTTCCTGGCATGTGGATTTGCCATACATGTTCAAGCCCAGCTGGTGGTGCATCCATTTCGTCTTCAGGCACCCCTCATCCTGACAAGCCTCTGTCATCAACTCTAGAGAGCCCTGAGATGGTGTTCAGGGTATCACTGGCCTGAGTGAAGTCTCCGATGGCCCTGCAGCTATGGCGCTAAGCACTTACACCAAACCCTCCTTTCAATCTGCGAGCACCTTATGAGGACGGTGGAGGAGCAGAACTACCCGGCGGACCAGCCCATCTGTGAACATCGTCTGACTAGAAAGGCATTTGCCTTCCCTGGAGAAGTTCGTGGCCAGTTGATAGGCCCTGTTTGGCTTCAAAGAAGTAAAAGGCATCACCCTAAAAGAACAGGACTCCTTACTCAAGGCTGGTTCAGTTCTAGCAACTGTTTATTTTTCATCTCTTTCAAATGTAATTTTCTAACTCCAGTTATGAACCCATCAGCAGTAAGTGACAGGAATGATGACAACAAGCAAAACCATCTCTTCATGGTCACTGCATGGCATTCACTCAGCTCGTAGTCTATTTTACACCCAAGCCTTGTGACTGTATGAGGGCCAGCACGCATCCCGCAGTTAGACAAGCTTGGATTCCCACCTGCTTTGCAGAGCGGAACCTGACATGAGGACCTGGGGGCTCGATTAGGGATATGCATCCCCTCTGTGTCAGGTGTGTAAAGAACTGATCCTAAACTCACACTGAGGAAAAAAATGCTTTTTCTCAAGTCCAGCATGGCAGATTGAGTTTTCTGGCCTAACAAAAGGAGTCTGTTGCATTGTTATGGATGGTGAGACTTAACATTGGTATCGACAGCTGAGGCTTAAGGACAGAAATCCAGGGGTGGTCTGTTTTGGTTTTAATTTATTTTTATTACAATGATTTAACACACAAACTGACCAAGTAGGGCTCAGAGAGCTGGTCGCTCTGGGCCTAATTTACCTGCCAACTTAAGCGCGTGCTTAACACTAAGTAAGCATGCAAATAGTCTCACTGAATTCAACAACATGTCTCACAGGCTTAATTGAAGCTGAACACATACAAGTGCTTTTCTGAACTTAGGCAAGCACCTTCCAGAATCAAGTCCTTAACTAGTGTAATGCCAGCAAGCTCCAGAAAATGTTGTCTAGGGTTCCTTTCCAACTCTTATAAGAAACTATTATGCCATGTTTTGGGTCAGTGGTCCAAAGCACTGTAGCAACATTACTGTAAGAAATTCCAGACTATTACTTCAGGATACCTTTTTTCTTCTGTAATAGCTATTTTGCTTTGAAAGTTTGAACAGAGAGGCCAAAGTTTTTTACTACGGTATTGTTATTTCTGTTGTTATTTTATTATTTTTCCTTTCTTGCTGTCTTCCATGTATCTATCCACTCTTCTGTGCTCCCTCTCTACCTCCCCCTGATGCCATGCTGATGTTGTCCTTTACCAATTGTGAGCTGAGAGGCCGCTCACAAATGAGAATTTTGTGGCCAGTTCTGCATAGTGCCAAGCGCTCCTGCTCTTCTCAGGCCTTGGTCTCATTCCTCTGGCTGTGGGAGTAAAGCAAAAGGACCTATGGCAAAAGAGCCTATGGAGTTGCTCTAGCATTTGGCTTGCCGAAATGGCGTTGGAAGTGAGGCTAACTGACTCCATTTAGGCTTAGCAGTACTCAGTACCTCGCAGATTTGCACTCAGTTGGAGGCGAGCGAAAGCATTTCGTGCTCGTCTGTGGCCATCCACACAATGCTATGGAGTATTAGCTATTAAACAACACTTGGCTGTTGTAGAATGGAAGATGCTATAAAGGAAAGTGAAAACCAGCTGTTTCTGGTGCCTCATTTTGAGGCAGTATGCCTCTGATGTGCTATTCTTCCCAGACCAGGTAATGATTTCTGGATGAACATACAAAGCAATCCCTGTATCACCAGCTCACAACTGCTTTAGCTATAAGTTCATCAGCAGTGGAAGCCTTTAATATGAAATATTATCTGCTCACTGCAGCAAGGACAGAGCACTTATTAGCCAGGACTACACTGCCTGGGGGTTATTTTCCTGAAAGCCTGCGGTTTGTGTTTTTTTTAAAGAATTCGTTCACATATGCATGCACACATAACAAGACTGCATTGCAGCTTTAAAAAGGGAAAACTAAGTTCTTGACTTTTGACTGTACACACTGCTCTAGGAAAGGGCTCTGCACCACAGCAGCAGGCCCTCACATCCCCGCTGTGGCTCCCTCGCCAGCCCTAGCATCACAGCCTTAGCGGGTCAGTGTGAAAGGGAGCGAGGGTGGTGAAGGGTTTTTTGCGGTTCAGTGTGAGAGGGAGCGAGGCTGCTGAAGGAGCAGGAGAGAGAGAAAGCACAGGACTCAGTAGACTGGTGGGAGGAACAAGGGAGATTTGGGTTTTATGATTAAAATGAAGAAGCAGGAGGTAGAAGGAGCAGGCTGCTGTTAGTCCATGGTCAGTACCATGGGAGCCCCGGGGCAGCGTCACCTGTCCCTCATGGGCGTGGACCGTGGAGGTGCCCACACCTGCCCAGATAAGCCCCTTATTTGCAGTGGTTGAGGCATGTGACAGCCCAGTCCCGGGTGTGAGCCAGAAGGCCAGCCCTAGCCACCCGGCCTTTGGCCCAAGGCCGGTCCCTGCTGACCTCTCAGCAAGTCGCCAGTCCCTGGCTGCTGGCCTCCTCAGGACACGTGCCACCTGCTTGGCAGCTACACGTGGCCATGTTTGTTTGTTTGTTTTTTTAACTAACTCCTAACTGTCGGAGCAGACACCAGGACACAGTGGAAGAACTGCCATATTTCTCCCAAACTGCAACCTTGCAACTGAAAAGGGGGACGAGGGAGAAGAAAGAAGCCATATAAAGTGTTCAATGCTGTGGCAAGCATTACAGAGCAGAACTGGCACTTCATTTAGTTATAGCTTCAATGGGTTTGGGTATTTTGCAAAGTTACCCTTTGGCAATGCATTCTTTGGAGACGTAACAATCCTTGAGTGCCTGAACACTGCCGTGTGTCCCCAGTTTGCATGCCCAGCTCCTTTTGGCATTCATGGGAAGTTGAGAGCAGACTGGGGAACCGCTAGTCTTTTTTAATCTGTTTTTTGAGCATTGCAACTGCTTTTCTCATCTGTGATAGCCATCTCCACCATGACAAAGTAGTTGTGAGTCCGTTGTGGGGAAAAGAATGATTCTACCCCCCCCCCCATCAACCTGGGCTATTGAAGGAAATAAAGAGGATAACTGCTGAAGACTCCAGCAATCATCCTCGTTCTTACTTAGAAGAGACTAATAGTAGTAATAAAGAAGTTATATCGGGTTTAGAGAATGGGAAACCAACACAGAACAAAAATTGCTATTCCAGTACTTGATCATCGGGGCTGATAGTGGAGCTAATGTACCAAAGTCAAGGAAGAAAAAGATTATAACCAATATCTACTGACTCCTGATGTGCAAGGATTTAATCCTGATTCTTAAAACGTGCAAGTAATGCGACATGTTTTCTGCAGCCTATGGAAAGATGAGGTAGAAACTGCATGGCAAGAAAGAAGGAATTGGAAACACAAGTTCCAAGAACTTCTAGCCAAGTTTTACTTATTTGCAGAAAGCGATGCTGAGGGTAACATGATGGTGGCATCTCCCTCCCACCCACACCTTGGCAAGGAGTGGGTGACAGGGACATGCTGGCATATTTAGGCAGAAGGTCAGCACCGTGGCCTTTCCCCGCCCAAGCCCCACTGGCTATGCACTAGCGAGTTGAAAAATGTTTTAGGCTGCATGTTCTCTGGGACAGGGCTCAAGCCGGCTTTTGTATCAAGACAATTTCTAGTACACACTCTAGGCATTATTGGAAGAGAAGGAAGAGGGAAAAGGATATAATAGCCTTTTTTTTTTTTTAAACCACTTTATGGTCATTGAGACTAGTTTGTGAGCCCATTACAGGAATATATTTCACCCCAAGGCTTACATGTAACCACAGCACTTTTTCATCACCACGACTAGTCACCAAACTCACCATCATTATTTCTACAGTGCCATCTGTACAGTGGAAACACTATAAACCAACAGAGTGAAAGCACTTCCAACATGCCCAGTGGAGGCTTGCACTCACAGAAAACCGGGTGAGATGGAGACCCATAGTCATATGGGAACAGGGGCTCCCTAATGTGCCTGCAAATAAAAATCACTTTGTAAAAATAGCCATGGGAGATTGCTAGGCTAGTGAAAAAATCAGGAAAGCAAAAGGGGGACAAACGATTTTTTTCCAGGTGTTCGGTCTGCTCGAGCTTGGAACAATTTCTGTAAACAAAGAGGACGTGACGGGCAGATTACCTGCTTTCCCATGTGTCCCAGGTACTCCAGCACCAGTTGCATTTTTTCCAGTTGATATCCAAGTGTATGTATATAGTTTGTCTTTGTATAGGAGTGAGTGTGGTGACTGTCAATCATGTGCTCTTCCAGTATTGTAATTTAACAGATTATGGCTGTATGAAAACCATGTAAATAACTAGAAAGAAATTAAACTGGATCTCTATGTCCTAGTTTTTGTACATACTGAAACTGCATGCTACTTAAATTATTGTTTGTCTCTGATGTATGCAGTTTCTTAAAAAAAAAAAATTCCTTTGAAAAAGAAAAATCATTCCCGTGCCTGTGTATTTTATCACTCACCCTCTGTCCCCATGGCTGATGCTGCAACAGCTGCTCGTAACTGAAGGTCCCAGCCCTCCCGCTGCTCCCCACTGCAGGGACACAGTGCATGGCTGCAGCAGGCCCACACCTGCTCATCGAGCTACTTTCGTATCACGAGCCTCCTCTTTTTTTTTTTTTTCCTGAGTAAGCTTTAGCAGTTACAAAGCTACATTTTGAGCTGCAGCAAGCTGTAGCCTCTGTTTAGTGAGAAGGGAAAGGTTGGGAAGGGAGGGGGAAAACTTGCTTTACAAGAGTAGGCATGTGCCTTCAAACAGCCTTACTAGTCATCTGCATAAGGTATAGGAGGTAACAGCTACTCTTAGGCTATTTATTCCTCATAATTCATGACGCAAAACTTCTGACGCCCAAGAAAGTGCTGTCCCGAAGCATCGCAGTGCAAGTGGCAGGTGCCAGCAGCTCCCTGCGCTGAGGCACGTGGAGGCTGCCAGTTACACAAAAACGAAAGGTATGTATACATGCACTGACCAAATTCTGCCCCTTTCCATTGCTGATCTAGTTGAAGGACACAAAACATGGTCGTAACTCTGCTACTGGGCTTTTTCTGTTCATATGTTTCTATTTGGGTAGATTTTCACTGACCCTTTTTACAATTTGGGGTGGTGGTGAGGGCAGTTACCTTGCTCCATTAGTAGGAGAACGTACAGTGCCTGGCTTGATAAACTGAAGAGGAGAGGTGGGTGTCAAGATCCTCCCGCAACTAGTTACAGTGGTCATCTCAGCATCACATAGCGTTCTGGTCACATAAGGTAATTCCTATGTATTGCACATATGGTTGCAAAGCTTTCAAAAAGGACACTTTTGTGAAATGGCGGACCAGCCCACTCTCTTGCACAGAGATGCCTACACGAGGGGGCACAGCAGCTTTTTTTTTTTTTTATTTTAAACAAACAGAAGCACTTCACAAAACTGGCCTAAGAAAACAGGAGTATGTGTCTTCAGTAACGTCCACGTAATTACTAGCAATCAAATCGCAATCTAATGGCATCTTTAGGCAGGAAACGAAGAAGTGGGTTGAAAAAAATCGATTCTCTATTAAACATGCAGCCCCTGGTGTCCAGCTCAGAAATTGCATTTGCGCTGCCCAAACCAGCGACTTGAAATGGCTTCAGGAAAACCCATGCCTGTAGGTTCACGGGAAGGCCGGCCAGACAGACTGCGCACCCTCCTTTCTGTGCTCAGCCACAGAAATGGGAAGGCAAATAGGAAGGGCGCAGCGTTAACCATTAGCACTATAGGTTTAATGAGAACTAGAAAAAGGAGCCTGCTTCACCTGCAGTCACACACATGCAATGACCCCTGTTAATA